CCATATAATTGGCCCCAGTTGTTCCAGCCATTGTGTGCCAAAAACAGCATCACGTTTCTCCACAGGTAGGAGGAAAAAATCCACGTGGAATTGTACCCTTTGAACCGAAATAGGGAGATTTTCACACAATCCCTCACTCTTCATTTTACTGCCATCAGCCACTTGCACAGAAAATTCCCATGCCTTTGTTGGAGAAATTCCCTATTTAGTAGCTATGTTTGGATTTAGGAACTTATGAATGCTTCCTGAATCTACCAAAATTGTGACCACCGAATCTCCAAGTTTGCCAAGAAACCGCATGGTTTGTGGGGCTACATTTCCAAAAATAGCATGAAAACTAATTTCGGGAACATCTTCCTCCGCTTCGTCCTCCAAGGTTGTCTTTTCCAAAGGCTCATCAAGGGAAGGAAAGATCCCTTCTATCAAAAATAACTTCTTGCAACGATACCCCAGAGAAAATTTTTCGTCACAATTGAAGCACAAATCGCACGTCCTCCCATCTTGTAGCTCTTCTGGGCTTAATCTTTTGATTGTAGGAAGGCGTGTTCGTGTAAGGGAAGTCGAGGGTAAGGGTGGTGGTCCGGTAGAGGATGGGGTCTTTCGAAGCTCCACATAGCTATTCCTTCATTTTTCGTACATACAGGACTCATAGAGTTGTGCAAGACCAATAGCGACGGACAAGGAAGACAGGTTATATGCTTGGACATTCATGTGTATGGACTCTTTTAACCCGGTTACGAAACACCTGACATGTTGATCCTCCGATAAATTGCTTGCTCAATGGAGCAATCGGTCAAACTCCATTTGATACTCATGGACACTTTCGATGTGCTTAAGCTTGGTGAGATCCCCAAAAAAGTTGTGGAATCTTGATGGGCCATAACGGAGATGCAACTCAGATTTTAAAACATCCCAGTTGACACCTTCATGCCTCTGTTTGAGTTGTTGATACCACAATTGAACATCACCATCTAAGTGATATCCGGCCATTGGAAGTTTATTCGTCTCTTTGGTCTTTTGGAACTCAAAAAATTGCTCCACTCGACAAACCCATCCAGTAGGGTCCTCCATGCCATTATACTGTGGAAAGTCCAATTTTGTGATTTTTGAAGCAGGAGGGCCTCCTCCCGTTGAACAGCGACGAGGTAGAGGACGAGAAGATTCGACATCTTCATCGTAGCTTCCACCGTGAATAGAGAAATGAGCAAACATGCTCTCCATATGCTCCAAAAGTGTTCTTCGATAGCTTGCATCGATCGTTGAAGGTTCATTTGGCTGGCTGCCAAAGAACCAAGCTCACTTTCCATGTGTTCAGGGCGATTGTCGGACATGTCTACAACAGACACCTTCACAGACAACGCCAAGTTGTCACGTGCCTTAGATTGTGACCTAGTAGTGGGCTTATTAACGGGTAGAGAACAAGGATCATTCTTGTGTTTTCTACCTATGATGATAATCTATAGGAAATTTCGAGGGACCCTTGGACCTCTTTTAGGTTGGTTTAATTCTAGAAAAACCACAACTCCTAATCAACTCAAGGTTGGAGATAATAATCATGGATCCTTTTATTCATGGCCTCAAGCTATTAAATAGCTGAACAACCTTTGTTGAAATAGGTAATAGACTATTCTTAGAAAAATGGAAATTACATATGCATAATTCATGCCTGGTTTATTGGAAAGAAATAACATTGATTCTGAAATTAACATTATTATGATTGACCCTAATTAATCACTCTCATTCCTTTATTCTTGGTCTCTGACACACTCAATGTTCATGATTTAACCCCTTACCATGGAGAGAATAATCTGAACTTAGCGACAAGTTCTTTCCCACCTGGGGAGGATGATGTAGTGCTGGATATTCCTGAAACTGAGCAGTGTTAAATGTTTTCATCATAACTTCCATTAAAAAATTCGTATTCATATATGGTTGGTGGTATTGGAAACTAGATTCATTTACCATTCCAACAAGATATTATTCAATGTCAAATTCCAGATATATTGGGAGTTGCGAAGGTTCAAAGTGATGCCTTGGGACTGGGAGATTACATTTGGGAGTTGAAGAGCTTCTAGTTTTTAGTTTTCAAAATTTATTTATCTATTCATGTATTCATATGTTAGCCTATAAATAAATTGTATGATGAGAAGAAAGGGAGACTTGAATATTTAATCATTTCATAATTGAATTGGAGAATAAAAGTTTTCTATTTCTCTTTTATTCCCAACTTTGTGAATTCGAATTTGACATCTCTTTAAAATTTTTCATTCCCATTATTTTCCTTCCCTCATCATAGTGCAGTTGATATTAAATAAATAGCGGATGTAGGCCCTTCAACATTTAATATTGTGCAAGGATGCCTTCCATTCATATCCTTATTCCTTCTATGCTTTTAATGAAGTTCTCAACAGAAAAGAATGTAGATTCTTTTCTACTAATCGTTACATTTTGATTAGAATGCCACTTTAACAGTGAAGCGAGAATTAGGTTATTCTCTTTTACGTCCTGAGAAAAAGAACTGGGAAGGATTCTGCTCTTGTACTTTAACTGAGAAACTAATTGAAATGGCAAATTTAGCATGTGAAACTTCCTCAAATACTTAAAAAATATTGCAAGATAAGTATCCCACTTTATCATGATTAGAATTTCTACTTTATCCACTCCATACTAAGAGAATTTTCTTTATGGGTAAATAGGTGCTATGAGAATTTTCATTTCTTTTTCAGTTACTTTGCCTGATGATGGTTAAATATGGTTATTCTCTTGTCAAAACAAAAGGAAATTCAAATGTTGAACATTTACTTCAATTCAATGCAAAGTACCACATTGTTTTACATATGGAGTATGATTTAGTAACCAGTCCTCATCTAACTGGAGTCTGTAAGAGGGGAGAGAGCACAACAGAACATTTTATGTTCATTCAAGTATATAACACTTCTCTGTTTATTTAAAAGATTCAGTCTTTCTCTGTCCTCATTCTTTTGTAATTTCAGATCGTAAACAATCTTGATTCATATTGCAAGTGAGCTCCATTGCTGTGTACATTTTTTCCCCTTTTCATGTTCCATCTATATGACTTATTCTTAGTGTAGGCTTCTTGAAATTATTGAATGTGGCACTATGACTGCCTTTTTTTAACAATGCTATATTCAAGGTTGAGCCTTTAAAGTAGTATATCAATATAAAATTTTTTAACCGAGTGAGCTTAGCACGAGGGAAATAGATTGAAATCTTAAAGTCCCAAATTTTCGTATAACAGAATATAAATTTTTATATGCTATATTTTAATATTTTGAAAAATTAGGGACTAAAGTGATATATAGCAAATTTCAATTTTATTTGGGTCAAATATTTAGATATTGACCGAGTAATATAAGTATACAAATATTGGGCTCGTTGGACAAATCATAATTAATAATGCATATTAGGATTGAGAAGAAGTTAATTTGATTAAGCGAAGCCCAACTTATCGAGGTCGAAAGATATGGTGCTAAATTGGATCCAAGCCCCCCATGTAGTTTAGAATTTCCAAGCAATTGGAAGCCTTTTGATGACGAGGCTGAAAAATTTATATGTAAGTTAAATTAAGGAATTTAGAATTTAAGAGTGACATGTGTAGAGTAAGTTTATTGGTAAGTTATTAATTGATTTTTATAAATAATAAAAAAAAAAAAAACACACACACACACACACATATATACATATACAAACACGTTTCTAATCTTGAGATTCTCTCTCATCCACTCATAATTTAACCACCTTTAAGAAACTTCAACACATCCACTTGTTATGGTATTTCCCCCACTTACTCAACAAATATGAAAGATTTCTTCAATTCCTTTATTTATCACACATCACTTTACGGCTTCTTCATTTCAACATTTCTTAACTTATCCTCTTATATATATCTTTTATATTTAAGTTAAATTAAGGAATTTAGAATTTAAGAGTGACATGTGTAGAGTAAGTTTATTGGTAAGTTATTAATTGATTTTTATAAATAATAAAAAAAAGATATATATATATATATATATATATATATATATATATATATACACACACACACACACATATACATACACACACATTACTAAATATATATATATACACACACACACACATATACATACAAACACGTTTATATGAAAGATTTCCTCAATTCCTTTATTTATCACACATCACTTTACGGCTTCTTCATTTCAACATTTCTTAACTTATCCTCTTATATTTTATTAGTCATTTTCCTTCCATATTTTGGTGTATCGAAACAATAAGGACTTTGCCAAAGCATTTATAGTACATTTTTTTAGCACTCTTCATTTGGTTGAAATGAATTTGAAGGTTAGGGTAGGATACAACGTACAAGTGGTTTGTCCCATTTAATTTTTGTTATCTCATATTGATAAATGTTTTGTTAATGATATGATATGATATGATATATATGGTCATCCGGTACAAATGATATGATATGACGGAACGATTTATTTTGATAAATGAATGATAAATATTATTCGGGATGGTACTAATATTTGTATCCTACTTAGTATTCCTCATATTCGCCCCTTTTTTTTTCCCAACCTTATAGATTAGAACGGGTCATGTTGGAGAGCAGTGGTTCGATGGTGTGGTTGTGCCTCGTTTCATGGGACAAAAACCTAAAATTAAGCACGTAACTTGTTTAACTTGTTTCTTTATTTCTGCGCCCCCCCCCCCCCCCCCTAGTTACAATAGACATCTATGTTTAACTAAATTCTCGATCATCTTTGGTAAACCATAGTTGTCCACTTTCTACAAATTTAATTAGTTTTCATGTTCCTTTAAATTTTAAGTTGTCTTTTGAATTTTGGTTGGAAATAATATATGGTATGGTATTAATTATTAAAAGACCAAGCATGTATGTTTAACATTTGTAGAATCCATTGTTGTTCCATCTATTATATGAAAAGAATAAATGACCATCTATTAAAAGAATGTATAAAAGAATTTGGTGGCGACTTGAATTTTATTAAAAATTTGGGTCGTTACAAAATCTAACCATGGAACACCTTGTAACTGCGAAGTGGCACCTTTATGAGTGTAGACCACAGAAGATCAAAACATAGTCGCAGCTGCGCGAGAGCAAAAAATGCCACTGGTACACTGACAACACCATATATTGGAACTGATGCATATCTCAATTTCTTTCTGAGGATAAAGGTATGCCCTGCGCAGAACGAGATCAACATAGCAACAATGGATGCAAAGAGAGAACTTAAGCCGAGCAAAAGTTTCCTCGGCAATATTTTTTTGAAATCACGTTCCTGACATCTCGAAGTAATGATGGAAAGAAAAAACACAAGGGCTGTGACAGCGAGGGTGAGAGCAACTAGGGAAGTGATGGAAAACACGTCAAATGCTGTTTGGTTTTCCAGAACTGGATGCCCTGTATCCTCGTTTAATCCTCCAGGCACTGTGGTTGAGGTAGCGAATGCAACAGTGGCAACGAGTGCAGCAATTACAGAACATGACTCTGATGTTTTGATAAGCCAATCAGCGCCTTCTTTGACCAGCTTTCGATGTGTCTTTGTGAAGATCTTCCTTGGGGTCTCTCCGCTAGTGTTGTTGTGAGCAAAGCTTAGTGGTGGAATTGAGTGCTTAACATGCTGCATCGGGTTCAAAATATTGGTTAGCATTCATTTCTATTTGAAAATCTTTCCATTTTCTGCCAAGTAATAGAAGTTGAAGGTAGAAATAAGAAAACAGGATAGCTAGCTGGTGCAAAAGCTTAAAGACGTCAGATGCAGGACACATGTATAATTTAAATGATTTTAGATGAAGTGGCTCAATGTAGCAAAACAAACTGAGAGCATATAAAGGTCTTGACTACAAGTCTTGCGGCCAATCATTTACTCTATATATATATATATATATAATAGCTTTGATAAGAAAAATGAATCTGGCCTACACTTGAGAGTGTGTTGAGGACTTAAATTTCCTAGTACCTTGTACCATTTGATCTCCCATTGCATCTGCAGAGCAGCACCAGGAATGCGCCAGGGTAGAAATTCTCCCAGCATTGCAGCAAGGTGCAGAATGGTGTTTCCTTGATCATCGAATTGGTGAAACACGAATCCTGGGAGCTTCTTCTCCACGAAATAATCAAAAACAGGGGTGTGCCTATTTATAGCTGCCAACATCAACACGTTCTTCCCGCTAGAGTCCAGGTCTTGAATGGCCACTGGAAATGTGTCAAGAATTTTTTGTACCATTTCGAGAATTCCCATCTTCGCCGCTACTAGTATTGGAGTCTCTCTTTTAGCTAAGACTTGCATATCCTTTTTCACTGTTCCATTTGATCCCACATAATTTTTTTGCAAATTCTTAACTAATAAATAAAAAGCAGTTTTTATGTATAGCATTACGATTCTACAGATCAAAAATACTTACCTGATCCATTTTCGTTTTCATCTCTCTGTTTCTCATTTTGGTTTTGTGGTTGATCAGTTGACGAATTTCTCCCGCCATTGGTTTCTGGATTCAGTTGGGCAACTGGCTGATCATCAGTTAGTGGCAGAGTAGATGGAGGCAGAACTCTTCCTGAATACTGGGATTCCAGATTTCCAGGTTTTTGCCCATTATTTTGGTACTTATAACTTTGCTCAGACTCAATCATCTCATTCATAAGCTGCAATGCATGTGAATGTCTTTCTTTTTTTACTTGAATTCTCCGTACGCTCCAAAACCCTAAAATCATAAGCTATGTTAATCTAGATGTACTGCAGCAAGTAAAAAGGAAGGATCAAACCCCAAATTTGCAGGGGAAAAAAAGTAAATTAATGAGAAGAAATTAGTACTTACCAACTCCTATGATGGTTAGGATAACCTTCATCGAAAATTTAAGAAATCGAATAAATGTTGCATAATTAGGAGGAAAGAACTCATCATCTTCCCACTCATCATCTTCATGTTTCACTGCAACTAAAAGTCCATGAAACATTGAATACAATATTTAAATGATATACATGTGGTCCATCGAACCACTTAAGCCAATTGGTTCAACAAGGAGAAGGTCCTGAGTTTAAGTTTTGTCACCAATTTAAATGTAGAGTACATGTGTTAGGCTTTGTGGGAAAAAATGAATCTAACCTACTCGTGAGGGAGCATATTGAAGATAATATTTATATGATATATATGTAACCTACCTAACAACTTACACTTCATATTTAAAAAAAAATAAAATACATCAGTATATACGGCACCATGAAGAAATGGGAGTTCAAGTTCATTGCTTCTAGAGACCCTACTAAGTTCCAAGAGGCGCCGACAAATGCCGTGGCTGTTTCAACTCATCGTTGAAGTAACACTTAAGATAATTTAGAAACAATCTCTTCAGAATACATCTCAACTTATATTCATACATAAAATCACTTGATTGAACTACAAAATACATTTCATATTTATACTAATAACTCAACTTGCTATACAAAGAATGTATAAAATTATCAAGGAAGAACTAAAATTATCTAGAAATAAAAATACAAGAAAAGACTTAGAAAACTTAAATTCATGTATACAAAAACATTTAAGAGTTACTGTGACCAGGATTAAATTACTTAACCGAAAATAAAATATCTCGAATCTTAAATCAAGGTTTCCATCTGTCGAACTTGATTCATACTAACTTTTGACTTCACAAGACAAATAGCTTGACATATATATGATGCATAAACAACATAATCAATTTTAGAACTCGAGAGCATGACTATGTTTTTCTTCCTCGAAAAACCATGTAAAAGAAGAAATACTACCACCATAACCGACAGGAAATATGAATAGAATGAAACATCATATAGCTAATGGAATAGTCTGACTTATCAACAAATTCATTCTGTTGTGTCAAGATATGAGACTCAATGTAACGACTAGCAAGACCAGCTTCAAATAAATATTAGAGTTTGTATATGTCAAATCCTCAAACTTTTAACTTAACTCTGGTTAAAATTTGAACCAACTTTCTCACCTTCATCAAATCTCAATAACTTTATTCCCCAAAATGTGAAGGTGCAAACTGGTTTGCAATCATTGATCTTTAACTTCCCAAGAATCTTTACAACATATAAATAGGATTTTCTACTTTGTACTAGTTAGACAAGTTTTTAAAGTTATAATTCTAATGCATCAGAGCCTCTAGGCTTGAGTTAAACAATCTTTACTTCGGCCGCTGGTTGGGCCACTTAGTTCTCTTCTTTTTAGCTCATCCGGCCAATTTTTATTTTTTTGCTACTTTTGTCTTTGTCCCATTAAACATTTTTCGCGATAATTGTAGACTTTGAGGGTGACTCATATCGTAGCTATGCCTATTCCTATCCAAAACCATGATATCCATTTAATGGTTAATTTTATAGTTTGATTTTAATTTTGGTTCCATATGTCATTCCCTATCGAATTCCGAGTCTAATGCCACCAAACTTGCTCCAATCTGATGTTTATGAGTCCAAACGTGCTGCCTGAGTGTTCTGTGTGTAGTATCACGTCTATATCTGCCTGCACATGCCTCCAGACTATCCATGTTCGTCACAATTGCTCCTAGACGCCTTCGCATACTCTCATGTGCCAAGTGTGAATTCGGCCTCACCATGTTTTAGAGGCATCAGCTCCACGTGTCAGATCTGCCCAGTCTCATCACGTTGGTTCAGTGACTTTAACCAGCCAGTCTAGACTTGTACTTTCCAATTCTTGACCGGGTCAGACCAATTCCCTTGGTTTTCAATAGTGTTGAATTTGATTTCAGCCTCTTTTTTCTGAAATTCTCAATGCACGGTGCGTTTTTGGTAATATGCAGCAATTTCTACTCAAATTTAACAATTGAAGGTTACAGATTATGTGGTTGGTTGGGCATTATTAGTATTTTGAGTGGTCTATTATGCCTTGTTTGTCTTTTGAACCCTGTGGATCACAAAAATCTTGTCACACTTTGATAGATTTTTTTTATCATTGTTTACTTCTCAAACTACTTGAAAGAAAGTCTCGTTTCTTCTTCCCCCAAGTTATAACCCATCATATATTGTCCTTGTGTACCTGGCTATTCAATTATTCTTTCTCTCCTTCATCGTTGCGTGGAATGGTAATTGAACCCACGGATTTTTGAAGCAATACTATTAAACAAGGTCTAACCTTGACATGTCTAGTTATTAAAACTACTTGAGGTTCTTATTTTGGCCTTTGTTGTTGTACTTGTAGGTGTCTCCTTTAAATCGTGATGGTTCGTGTCAGATTGGTGGATGATGATTTTCATTCTCACGAACTTCGGATTGTTTGGTTGGCTGAGTTGGCAAGTATTGTTCATATAATTTTGGTGCATCCTTTTGGTCTTCAAGGAGACTATTTGCTCAGATCAATTAAATTTTTTTAACTAAATTTAATTTCTACAGCACCATATTTTTTAGGGGATTTTGAAGATATGTAAAGATAACATTCTTCGTGATACTTTTCCATTTGTGTAGTATTATTTTCTTTAAGAGTTAATATTGTGATTATTACACAACCTTTCCTTTTATAGTTATTTTTAACCCTATAAATATGGTCTTTCACTTATAATAGTTACACAAGTTTTATTTATAATTTATAATTCTAACAAATCTATTACAACAATGTCTATCACGTGAAATGCCTATGGATTATGGTTCCCCAAAAATGATCTAAAAGAATTAAGAAGTTCCATTGCCTAATGTTGGATTTTAATACCCAGTAATCTCGAGTGATGATTTTAAAATGTTGTTGGCCCAACTTGGTTTCTAACCTATGTAATGAAGCCTTTTCCTGTCCAAAAGGTGGGGGTGCAGTTGAGAGAAAAGGTCAGCCACTCTTGGTGATTTGTGTTAAGCAATTACTTCCTTTTCTTCTCCCTTCCTTTGTAGAATTGCATCCACAAATCGAGTGTGTTTTAATTGCCCAGTGAAGTACAAAAAGTGAGTAGCCATCTTTGTTCCTCTTGCTTGAGTTTACCACTTACTTCCTCTATTCTCTTCCTCTTTCATGGGCTCAATTAATAAGCATTTTGTGTTCTTTGTGAGTGCCAGTAAGAAGCAACTGGAGTCGAATATAGTTATGGGTTCAAGCCTCTCTTTGATTAGTGTTTGATAGGTTATTGTTGGTTGAAACTGATTTGAATTGCACGATATAAATCTTGGTGTTAATTTCCTTGTAAAATGATATCAAAGCAATAGGTTATACAAAATTGGCTGATAACAAAAGCAGAAAATAGAATCCATAAATTGTCTAAAAATTTCAATTTGTTCGAATCTGGAATTACGATTTTTGGCCAATGTGAAAGGTCAATTGAGGAAACCAAGACCAGATTCAAATTCAGCAGGTTAAGGTGGAGTTGTTTGACTAGCACTTGGAGCATCAATGGTTCACAATGAAGGTTTGATGGAATGTGGAGGCATGTGGGCAAGATTTCATCGACTGTCACTTGATAGTTTGTTCCTGGTGACCTTGCGGGCCCTATGATGGTGTTTAGTTTCAATTTTGGAAAAAAATTGTGGTTCTGAATAATTTTGCCCTTGAGCGTTCGGATGTTAGATGCTGCATCGATGCAGTTGTTGAAAGCTTTATGATGAATAGTGGTGGCATGAAGTAGTAAATTTACATCTCTTCTTAATTACGGGCCTACATAATTGGTTCATTCTATATCATGTTCTTTTATTTTTATTATTACAATTAAAGCTATCGTGTGGGTAGCAATTTACTTTTCGCATTAGAGGTCATTGTGTGGAGTGACATTATGATTGGAGTTACCATGTGGAGTAACCATTACCTGTTGCTAGGTTTATGTTATTATTTGTTAATTTATGGTTTTAAATTCGCTGTGATTGTTCTTCAGCTTTTGTTGATATAGTTGCCATTGCTTTACTAGCCGAGAGGATTATCTGTGAGCTTTGGAAAGTTTGATTGGTTATTCAGTGTAAATTGTACCTGTGCTTTGCCTTAGATCATTGCTTTTTATTTTTTTTTTATTTTTTTTTTGTCTTGTGCATTTTTTAGGTAAAATGACAATACATTTTGAGTTAGGCTTTCCTAATGGCAAAAAGTATTTTATTTATTTATTAAAATTTGAAAGCCAAAATGTTTTTTTAACGCAATTGGTGGAAAATACAGCTCTAAGGAAAGAGTGAAAGGTAAAAAAATGTTTAAATGCTGTAAAATTGAATATTTTATAAGAGATTGTCATAAAGAAATAATAAGAGGAAAAACATAAGGTGAGAGGTGAGGTGAATGTTGCTATTGGGTCTAGATCTTACCCGAGTGAGGTTTGATGATAGTAAACCTCATTATTGCATTTGAATGTGTGAAATCTCATTTGCTTGAAAGATTGCTTGATTCAGTGTTCGATATTACATTTCAATATGGCTGATACGTGTTTTTGTATGAATTTCAGAGGGATCTTATTACTGTGTGTAATGTGTTTGCATGCATAGTGGTTAGAATGCATTAGCAGTAAGTGTATCTAATGGATACATGGAGTATAGATATTTGGGGGTGCATTGATGATATATACAAAGATGTGAAGAGTGACTTTTATATCACGAGGGGTGATGTGATTAAATGTTTGGAATCGTCTCTATGTTAGAATCTTGATTGGGTGAAGTGAGAGTGACACTCCTATCACTTCTATTAGGTGGAGATCCATTATCCATTTAAGTTGAGAGAAGTGAGGTAATGATGGAGTAACATCCCACGGATTTTAGATCTATGGCAGTTTACCAGTTAGTTATGAGGAGTGATCGATCTAATGAGCATGGTTGGTTATGAAAGGAGATATGTGTTATTAAGATATGAGCTATACAAAAAGTGATAATATAATTGTGGTGAGATGTTTTCGTTGGGTCACATACGCATAGTTGTATATGTTAAGTCATTTTACTTGATTAACTTGGTGTTTTATACATTGAACATGTAGAAAAGATCTATGTATTATCCTGTGTTATATTTCCATTGCATGTTTTATATTCTTGATTGATTACTGTGAGTGTCTATTTTCACTTTGCGTTTCTTGACCTTAGCCATTGGTGAGCATATGGAGCGTGTATGGTATGTGTTTTGTGTTTGAAACACAAGATAAGATCTCTGATTCCAATTTTAATTGGTTACAT